CTGGTGAAAATACCATATATATATAGAATGTATGTATGTCTGAAGAAAATATGTGTATGTAAGAGAAGAATGTATGTATGTGTGAGAGAGAGTATAGTGGAAACAGAAGGCAGGTTAGGCGCGATCAGTGTTACGTTCAGGACAGTTCCTGATTAGCATGGCTGAGGTATTTATTTAAAAATATATATATATATATACATTATCATCGTGAAAAGGTTACATGGCCTCGTCCCTTGAGAGAGTTGTGATTGAGGACGCGGCTCAGCCTCAGTCGTGTAGCCAGATACAGGTATTATAAGCGTCTATGGATTTTTCCTACTGTCCAAAAATACAGATTTAACCCAATCCCTTCCCCTAAACCTAACCTTACCCATAATTTATTCCTAAAATCAGAGGGAAATGATAGCTGATTAACAAGGGTGTAGAAGCACCTAAACCTGATTGTAAGCCTAAAACTGACATTTCCTGAAAAGTTATCTCTCAATTCTGCCTGGTTGATTGGAATGATGTTCCAGGATTAACAAGGATGTTGATCCAGGAACATGTTGTACTTGGTCAAATCACGCTCACAATACAGACGTGCAGACATACATATAATTAAGGTAATAAAACATTAATAATAATAAATAGTAATAATAAAATATTCATTCAGGCTGATGTTTTTGTTTTGTGCAGTTGCTTCATGTTGCATATATTTGGAGAAGGGTCTGGCAGCAGCCTTGCGCTTGCACTCTCAGACTTGCACTCTCAGACACTTGCGCTTCCGCTAGCGACGTCACTTGCAGTCTTTTATTTTTTTATTTTGTTCTATTTTTTGATTACTTTTTGTTTGAATCGCTCAACATTTTACAACAGTAGCCAGGTGGTGAAGACAAGACAAAAAAATAAACGCTTAATGTGGCATAATAACGGATGATAAAGACAATACAGTAGCCTATATGTCTTGTTGTTGACTCAAAGTATATACAGAACAGCAAATATGAATATGCATTATGAAATGCATTAAGTGATTTTAAAAGGATCGACTCCGTACAAGCAAGCAGACGAGCCCAGAACGCAATGCATTAAATTGCACGTTAAATATTTTCCTCCCATAGAAAATCATTATAAATAAAACACGTAATGTAGCTTAATGGACAAAGACAATGATATAAAAGAGCTGTAGACAGTTTATTCTACATGGATGAAAACACTTAACGCGAAACTGTGCGTGTTGCATTTATTCTGGGCTCACCTGCTTGCCTGTACATATTAGTTATGTATATTAATAATGTAGAGGAGCATACTGAGTTTGGCCTTTTTAGTCCATTATGCCACATCATGCCACGTTTTGCGGTATGGGAGGAAAATACTATATACATATTCATTATATTAATAAATT